TGCGGTGGCCGGAAATGGCCACTGCACTCCAGTCTGGGCGACAGAGTGAGACTCCAATTCAAAAGAAAAAAAAAAAAAGATCACTCATGTATACACATCTAACTAAATGATACTCAAGAGGTCCGTGGGTAGAAAAGTCATTCAGCAAATTCAATTTCTCTTCATTTGAAAGGCAGAGGTCCACATGGAATGTGTAAGTTCCTAAAAACAGGAGCAGGAATCTTAAGTAGTGGTAACATCTTGGGGGAGTGCTATGAAATCTTCAGTTGTGATTTTGTTACTTGGGTGGAAATGCTTGGCTTACTAGGCAGTAGGTAAATGTAGCAACAAGAAACCAGCAAACCAGCATAGCATAAAGCAAAGACAAAGTCAACAAAAAATACATACGAGAAAACAGAAGAATGGTAAAAAAGTAATAACTACCACTTGTTCCTATGGCAGAGGAAACAAATCTCTCCCAGCAGTAACATGACAAGAATTACTGGAGAGACAGTGAAAAAAAAAGCAGCACTAACTAACAAGAGGGAAGGAAAACACAAGTCTGAAAACATCTCAGCTGTCACTGTCATCTGTCGGTTGAAAATTATTTCAAATTCTTTGGAGATGCTGTACTGAAGCAAAAGGAAAGTAAACATCTTTCTCTTTGTAGCAAACAATCACCAAATCCTATTCTTTATATGATGCTAATTTTGAAAAATTAATTTTGATTACATCTACAAAGAACTTCATTTATTTCATTTTATGGCTCCAAAAATACTTTAAAAGTCACCATCTATGCTAGGCACAGTGGTTCTTACCTATAATCCCTCACTTTAGTCAGCTGAGGCAAGAGGATTGCTTGAGCCCAGGAGTTCCAGACTGGCCTGGGCAACACAGCAAGACCTTATCTCTCAAAAAAAAAATTAGCCAGACGTGTGACACACACCTGTAGTCCTAGCTACTCAGGAGGTTGAGGCAGAAGAATTACTTGAGCTCAGGAGGTTGAGGCTGCGGTGAGCTGTGATCATGCTACTGCACTCCAGTCTGAGCAACAAAGTGAGACATCCAATTAAAAAAAAAAAAAAAAAAAAAGAGGCCGGGCTTGGTGGCTCAGCCTGTAATCCCAGTGCTTTGGGAGGCCAAGGTGAGTGGATTGCCTGAGCCCGTGGGTTCGAGACCCGTCTGGGCAACTTGGTGAGACCTCATCTCTACAATAAATCCAAAAAAAAAAAAAAGAAAAAGAAAAAATAGCCGGGTGTGGTAGCATACACCTGTAGTTCCAGCTACTTGGAAGGCTGAGGCGGAAGGATCACTGGAGCCCAGCAGGCGAGGCTGCGGTGGCTGAGAGTGGCCACTGCACTCCAGTCTGGGTGACAGAGTGAGACTCTAACTCAAAAAAAAAAAAAAGGGCTGGGCTTGATGGCTCAACCTGTAATCCCAGCACTT